ATTTCCTGAAAAATATTTACTAAGCTAAGAAGGCACTTGAGATCCGATTCTACCAAAAGTGCACAAAATCGACTACATGAAAATATAGCAATTATAAAATTGTCGCATAGCTGCGATTTATAAATTGTCTATTACAAAGTAGTGTTGATTTATTATCCAATGAATGCTTGTTGTTGTATAATTTGAATTTGTGTATGTATGTATGTATGTATGTATGTATGTATGTATGTGTGTGATGATGATGACCATTACAGTAGTATTTATATAAAATAAAAATTTTATTGTAGCCTAATTATGTACAATAATGGATCATATGCAATATATGTTAAAAATTCAACTAGAAAAAAAATTAAATTAAATACAATGTAAATACAAATTAGAGACATAAATGTAAATCATTACATCTGAAATAAATCAACGATGTTTTGCGGTCATTTTTAACATTAACTTGATAAAAACTTTATTCTTGCTAAAAAGTTGAATAATTTAACACATTCAACATTATGGATAAAAAATAGAGAATTTTTTTATAGGTACCGCCACTGATTTGCTAAAATTTAGCATACCATGAAAAAATTCCCAAAACTTAATCGAAACAATGTTTTATCGTCAAAATCTTTGTTATTAATAAATTAAGAAAACTAGAAAAAATTTTGATTATTAATTTTTTTTTCATCATTTTTAGAACGTTCGAAATTTAGGTTAAAAATCTTTTTAGAGTAGGAACTTTAGCGTTTTTTGTTTGTTTGTTTTTTGTTTTCTTTTTGTTTTTTTGCGGTGAAAAAATATGGAAATTTTTGCAAAACTCAAATAATTGTCGGATTTAATGAAACTTCAGGACTTATTCACAAATAAATGAAATTATTTTAGAATTGTTTTTTTTTAATCTTGGTAGAAATATTTCCTATACTAATTAAGCTTTGCTGACGCAAGGAAAACAAGGTTTTTAAACCAAAATTACGAATTACGAAAGGATTAAAATATTTATTAACAATACTTTGGTTTTTCCTCTTCAGTCAGTCAGTTATGTGCCATGCGTGATACACGTTTAGGCGATCATGTATCTTTCGATATTTGACTGACGAGGCAGTTTTTTTTCTCGCAGTACATTGTCATTTCTTTATGCGGCTATAGAACCTTGTCCTGCTATTTACCCATACCTTAAATACGTAAGTGAAGAATGTAATGAATTCGAACTCGGCTCTCCGATTCTTCAATCCGAAAACATTTTAACGATAAAACTTTGTTTTTATCAAGTTTGGGGCCTTTTTCGCCATGGTATGCTCTTTTTTCAACGAATTATATTGGTGGCGGTACCTACTGTTTTTGATATTTTTTGTTTTTGTGTTTAATTTTTGGGGATTTTTCTTTCTTTTTTTTTTTTTTTTGGTTTTACTTTTTGTGTATTTGTTCTTTTTCTGTCTGGTATAATTCCCAAAATATAAAAATTAGAACTTTTATACATTGTACTTATAGATAAATTTTGTAAAACAACAAAAATTTTGTTCTTTTACAAAAAAAAAAAAAAAAAGATCACATCAGAATTTTATGAAAAAAGATGCCCAGTTAATTTAATGTTAGGATTTGGCGATAATTATGACCTTTCATTGTGGATGTGAGAAAAAGTGAATTGAATTTTTTAAAACGCAGTTATGAAATAAACTGATAATAATATTGGTCTAAGTCATGAATATAGCAAGAGCCCTATTTAAAAGTGCAAGACATGACTACTTGATACAACTCGTGTTGGCAAGTAGTTGTTGATAGACTGTTGCTATGGTAACGAGGGGATGCAAAAATCTTTTCCGTGTCTTGATCTGAGTTTTCCAATATCCATTTTGTGTAGCTGTTTTTGATTGGTACAAATGTGCCGAGCTGTCCAATCAAAGATCGCGTTGTTGCATAATGTTGAAAGAGAGTGAGAAAGAGAGCGCGAGCTCTCCACAGTTATGTTATTGATATTACGTTTTATTTATCTTGTGAGTAAAAGCGTGGCGAAGAAAGAATTTTTCTTTTCCTTTTTTTTTTAAAAACACTTTCCTGTCTGTAAAAAGATCTAATACAGTTGAACTGACTTATCTCTTTTTTTCCTTTTCTTCATTTTTACATTCACATGCAAGTAAAACAGACAAACTCTCTAAAATAACGGAAAAAAAGAAAAGAGGGGTGAAGTGAAAACTTAAAGTATCATGGACGACGATTTCGAGTACCACCTTAAATTGCCGTCGCCTCCTCCGGCCGCTAACATTATTGACAATTCAAGTGACGAAGAACAAGATATTGAGGCTTCAGGGTTCTTAAAACAGACAGCTGATGATTTGGTAGAGGACCGGGAAAATGATGAAAACGAAGAATGGAGTGGAGTCGATGACAGGTCGTCACCTCTCGTGAAACACAGAAAGGGCACTGCGCCGAAAGAACCTGTCGTAATTCTCTTGGGCTGGCTTGGTTGTAGCAATAAGAACTTGTCAAAGTATAGTGAAATTTACGAAGCTAAAGGGTAAGTTTTTATTTTTAGTATCTTTATTGTTTTTTGCGTTTTTTTTTTTTTTTTTACAACTAGTTATGATCATTTTTGAGAAAGTTTAAAAATGCGGAAGTTTTTTTTTTTTTTTTAAGTAAAATTAATTGATATCACTAATTCAAATTGTGTAATAAAACAGGACTTTTTGATTGTTAGTGTTTTAGATTTTTTTTTGTCATTTTTGAAACCTTTAACTTAAGCAATGATCTTTGTGTCGATAGGTAATTAAAAAGTCCGCAGGTAAACGTGGTTTATAATTTTTTCAGTTTTTAAAAACTATATAGCCCCATAACATTTTTTTTACCTATCGGTTTTAAAGGCAAAACAAAAATATCTTTATTTTTAAATTAAATTGCAATATTTAAAAAAAATATATATTTAGTCTTTCTTTTCTTTAAAAAAATTCTTTTATTTTCTTGTAATGATCAAAACAAAACAATAGACAAAACAAACGTTTAAGAATAAATGAAATTTATTTCTTTATTTTCTTGCCTACTTAGTCAATATTCAATAATCTAAAAAAATGAAACTTGATTCCTCGAAATTATTTTAATGTTTTTACCGATTTTCTTTAAAAAAAAATGCCCTCTTAAAACCTTGATTGTTTTTGTTGTTCTTCACAAATTTAACAGACAAAAGTTTAACTTTGTTTCATATATCTACTTTTTTATATACCAAAAATTACTCAAACATCATTTTATAAATAAAAAGTACAATTTACTACACTAGTCAGCTTTTAAAGCTGATTTTAAATGAATTAGGAATAAAACTGTTTCGAACCTGTTTTAGACCTGGAAAGGAAAATAAATGAACAGAATTATGACAATAAAAAAAAAAAGGATGCAACATTATTTTTGTAATCAACTACTTTTGTTTCGTTATTTTGAAATAACTTGTGTACTTTATTATCGACAACCAATTATGTTTTGCGAATATCTTCACTTATGCATTCATGTTGATGGTGTTTTGAAAAATACTTTATTTTAAATTTTTCTTTCTGACCTAATCTTTTAGTAAAAAAAAAAAAGAAAGAAAAATTGGCTGTTGATAATAGAAAAATACCTAACTTTATTTTTAAAACCGGCATTAAAAACAAAAACGAAAAAAAACATTGAATTATTTTTAAATGCCAACTGACTAGTAATTTAAAAATATATATTTGAAATCAATTCATTATGCAGATTAAAAAATATTGTGTTATTAACTTATTAATCGTATTTTTTAAAAAAAAACAAAACTTACATTTTAAAAAGTGATGCTAAATAATAAATAAATAATGTGTGTATATTGTATCGTATTGTCATCGCACCCCCGGGAAAATCAATATTTCATACGGTGTGAACTGTGAATTGACTTTTTTTTTTTTTTTTTTTTTTTTTTTTAGCGTGAAAGTGAAAGATAATCACAAACATTACCTTTTTTGTTTTTCGGGGTTTTTTTTTTTTTTTTGGGGGTTTAGCAAGATATATATAAAGAAAAAGATAAATAAAAAAATGCCTACATGATAAATTTTAAAAAATTTATTATGTTTTACAAGGTAAAAAGATGTTAAATTTTCCAGTTTTCAGTCACTTATGGATTTCAATCGTTTTTTGTTGTTGTTGTTTGTATAATATGCGACAAGAAACTGTAAACTTCCATCAATGCATATTTAACTACTAACTTATGAAAAGTAACACAGCAAGATGAAGTCTTTTTTTTTTTTTTTTTTAATGCATTTCTAAATTAACTAAAATTCAATTCTTACCGATAAGTGTCGATGAAAGAAACGGATTGTTATTCTGTTAAAATATAAAAATGTTCCTTTTTAAATCCATCAATACAAATACTAAAAAAGTGGCTTATTTTAGAAAAGACCTTTCATAGTATTTTTTTATTTTTTTTATTCATAAAAAGACTAAAAAGCATCAGGACAATTTTTTATGAGACTAAATGGTAATCACTGAATAATAACATTCATTTTGGAAAAAAAAATTGAAAGGACTTTCTTTATTTATCAGTATATTTAATCACAATTTTTCAAATAATTTTTTAAAAATAATATAGTTGTTATTAATTATTCCCTCATTTTTATTGTAGTAAAAAGTATAAGAAAAATTATGCTACGCTAGGATTGTATTTTGTAAGTCTCTAATAATGTACGGTTATTTGATATTTCAAAATCTTAAGATCCTGTTTTACTAGTTATGAAAGCCAAGGATTTCATAAAAGAAAGTTTATTCATTCCTTTTGAATGAAAAGTTTAAAAAGCAAAAAGGTTACTATTTTTAAATGATTCTGTTCTGTATTTAAAAAACTCTATATCAAAATTAGATATGGCCATAAACTTTTACTTAAATGCCATTCATCTTTTTAGGGTGGTTCATTAGTTGTGTAATAAAGACAGTTGTTTTGTTAACAAAAACCAAAATGTACCATTTGTTATCTTTTCACAGGCTTCTAGTGTAATATAGGAAATAATTTATTTTTTAATTGTAGCTGAAACTAAGTGTATTTCATTTTAAATTGATTTTCTCTGACACTACAGCTGATTGTATGTGTAAGGTTTTCTTTTTAGACTAAGATTGAAAAGCATTGGAAAAAAATCTTTGAATTTATTTATATTATTAGGTTGTTTATTGTTGCCTTTTTTTTAATACAATATTGTAGTTAAGTAGAATTATTGACTGCACTGATAATTTGACAAGACCTGTCTATACGAATATTAAAATTACTTCCCAAAGCAAAGACATCTGAAAATTTTGTATTGGAATCAACACATTTCATCTGACACTTCTAAAAAGGCCACTAAAGAACAATCTGGTTTGTTAAACACCGGATAATTCAAAAGCAAATTGCTTCTTATTGATTTATGAAGATAAATCAATGAATAAAACAACAATTTTTTGGTACCAACAATTTTAATTTTAAAATTACAATCCATTTTTAATTACGAACCTTTTTTTTTCTCTTGTATCTGTCAACATTTTTAAAAGTTGTACTTTCTTCCATTATTAATTGGAACTATTATTTTTTAACTTAATAAAAATAACGAAAATGAGATAATCGGCACCCAATTGCTGATACCGCCTGACGAGTGGACCGAACGATTGCAAAAAGGTTCGTCTATAAAACTCTGGAGTCCGGCAGTTGAATAGCATCAATCAGCTAAATAACAATTTCATATTTGTATTCCATTAATGATGTAATCCTATATGTTTATCACTTAGCTGATTGGTGTTACCTTCAGTATCCCTACTGTAGAGCTTCATAGGCGGACCCGTCATGTGTATGTATGTATGTACGTTTTTCATCAGATGTCAACTCTTTTTCTGAAAGCTTGAGGCATTATTTATTCACTTCAATCAAGGTATTCATAATTTAGAAGTAAGAATTACATATCTCTGGTAGGTTTAAAAATATAAAAATTGTTGGCTAAATGTTAAATTTTATTCCGGCAGAAAATTACTTTTTACCTGTAAAAAAAAACAAATATTGGAATTTGAAAGTTTTATAAAAAAAAAAAAAGAAAAAAATAGCATTAACAGTCATTTTTTTTTTTCTATTAGGTCACAGAAGACCTTTTAATAGAAAAAAATTACTAGTCACTGCAGTCATTTTCTATATCCGTGTAAAAAAAAAAAAAAAAAAAAAAAAAAAAAAAAAAAAAATTTGCTGATTTTCACTGTTATTGTCACTTGCAATTTACCTGTAAATTCAATTTACTTTATTTTGTAGATATAGATTTTTTTTTTTTAAATGTTAAAAAAAATGAACATCTACCAAATTTCATCATTGAAAATTAACAAATATACTGATTAGTATATTTATAGAACAAGGATATCAAAATCAATTTATTTATAAACGTTTTATATTGTTAAAGTAGCAGTTGTGCAAATTTATTTTTTACATTTATTTTATTCATTTGAATTTTTGCTTGAATTTTTTGATATATCAGCATTAAAAAAATGTGTGTAGATTTTTCTCAAATTTGTTAACATAGGGGGCTTTTCTGAAATTTTTGAATTTAACATTTTAACTTCATGTACACCCTAAATCATGGTTTTCTGTGAATTGATTTTGATAAAACTTGTCCCACCTGGTTTACACAATATGGCAACACAATTGTTAGGCTTTCATTATTCTGTGTAAAATTCTTTATTTTTTATTCCAGATTCAACAGTTTTTAGGTGAACCACACTAATAGCTTTTGAATGAAAATAGTCCATCTAGACATTTTTTGGAGAAAATGAATGATGGCAATACATATTAATCATTCCTTGTGTATATATATTTAACTGAAAACTATAATAATATTACATTATGTATTGACATAATGAATTATTTGGCCACATCAGTGCCATTTCGACAGATGACTTCAAAAACCCAATTAGTCATGAAATCTATCAAATTTTTATCATAGCAGCTTTGACTGCCTATGATAATTGCCTATAGATATCTTTCAATGTAAAATGGCATCCTTCGGCATAAACATCTTGCTTAATGATGGACCAAAGATTTTTAATAGGGTTGAGATCTGGTGAGTCAGGTGGTCATACCATCAACCTTTCACCTTGTATGCTGTAAGAACCTAGGAATGCTTGGGTGACAGTGGCAGAGTGTTGTCATGCATGACTACTAGAATCCTTACAAGTGACAGAGGTATGTGATCTAGCCATGGATCCAAGACCTCCTTTAGGAGATTGCAGTAGGCAGCTGTGATCAATTTAAAGACTTCAGGTACCATGCCTGGGGCAACAAGTTTGTCTCCAATGATAACAGCCCACAACATGACTCCTCAACCCTGTTGTTGACATTGTAAACGTTGGTTATACTCATTTCCAAAACAGACCCATCCATTTGCCCAACCGTCGAGGCCATCAAGAATTGCCCTCGTCTTGTGAGTGAACGGAACACAACTCATGTCCAATGTCATGTACTTCCAAGCCTATCGAAGCCTCAAATTCCTGTGATGGGTCATTAAAGGGGACAATTTT